TTTTGTGTTTCCTACTCCCTGAGTTGCCAAAAATTCAGTTTAATTAGCCATGGAAAACACAAGCAATTCACATAGTATAGAAGAAAGAACTGAGCTTCAGCTACAGAAAAACCTGTTCCTACTTTCTGAGCCTCTCTCTAATTATATTACACTGCTCAAAGCTAAATTACATTGAGCAGTTTTTTAATTGTAAATTTGAACCATAAAATAATTAAAGTTGCAATCAAACCACACGCAATAATGTCTCTGTGTAAAGCTCTATCTGTGTGTGTGAAAAAAATCACGACTTCACTTATTTCCACTTATATTGGAGCTTTCAACTGCATCTCATGTGGCAACACATCAGTCAGGAGAAGGTTTCATCATATGTAGCAGTAATCTTGCTACTTAGAGAGAAGATGTGACAAAAAAAGCTACAGTAAAAATGTATCACCTCACTAAAGTACCTGCAAGAATTGTAAATATCCAGTTAGAATTTCTTGTATAGGTCAGGAGGCTGATAATCAAGTTAATGTTACATTTCACTTAATTCAACCATCAGTCATTTAAACAGCTGAACAACCTGGAGAGAGTTAAAAAGTTTCATTAGCTTGCCAAAAGATTTTGCACAGTTTTTGTTAATCATTGTCTGCACTGCAGTATATGTAATTTAAAAAAATAGCAATTAATTTTGTTAAGGGTAACTGTAGAAAACTCATACAAACAGTAAAACTGCAACAACTGCAAGACCTTGTTGCAGTGTAAGATAATGTTAAGTTGTTTTTCAGCCAATGGTTACAGGAGGCCATGAGAGAAAATGAGCCCGACACATGTCTTATCTTCTTGGTTGGCACTAAGAATGACCTGCTGGTGAGTATATTTTATATTACATTTAAGTTTTGCAGATTCAAAATTTTTCTTTCTAATACCCAATTTTCTTGTTTTTCAGCCCCCAGAAGAAAGAGAGAGAACAGAGAAAGATGCCATTAGACTAGCCACAGAAATGCATGCAGAGTTTTGGGCTGTTTCGGCTAAAACAGGTATAATCAAGAGCTGACACTTCAGTTGTTGTTGTATGGTACTTTGAAGTGCATCCAAGAACAGCAGAAAGCCACTGTAAGAACCTTTGCTCTTTTCTGATACTCAGGGGAGAATGTACAGGGGTTTTTCTTCAGGGTGGCAGCTTTGTCTTTTGAGAAGTGCATACTGAAGGACATGGAGACTGGGATCCCTGCTAGCATCGGACGAGGAGACGGTATCAGTAAGTAATGACTCTTAACTTCCAACAAGCAGAGATGAATATTATAATGTCTTGAGGGTATCTCAATATTTTTCTTAATTTTTTTTTTTTATGACAGTGTCAGATTATGCAAAACTGGACGAGGCCACATCCCAAGACACTAAGAAAGGCTGCTGCTGATGAAAAGAGGGACTGAGAAATGTTAAAGAGAGCAAAACCAGGCAAAAGCTGTGTTCTGATTTTTAGCTGCAGTCGTCAAAATGACAAACCATTGGCCAGACTGAAATGTGCCTTAGTTCTGTTTTCAAAATAGAACTTAACAAAACAGTCATGTACTCTGACGTTTGCAGAGGGTTTGATTTGTGTGCATTCTTAGAAGTCATTGTATGAATGTATTTGGACTGAAACCGCCATTAATGGATTATTTTGGTTGATATTAAACATTATGAATTTGATTCTTTTCATAGCATAAAAGTCCAAAATATGTTTAGTGGAACAAAATGTTTAGACCTTGAGAAGCTTTCCATACAATTGTTATAACCAATATTTGATTCTGATCATGTTGTATTGTTCAGTTCTGCAATGTTTGGAACAAATTCTATTGCGTACATCATTTAAGATGTAGACAGTATTGCCTAGGCAGATAGCATGAGGGACATAAGGCCAACATCATCCCTGGTCAAACCGTTGAATGGTCACCTATAGCAGTGGTCCTATAGGATTGTCTTTATGACTGTAGTATATATATAGTTGCCTATTGTTGTGGAATATGGTCTCATCCACTATTATAGGTTGTACCCTGATAATTTTAGAGGGTTGAAATCCGAGAGGAGCTAAAACAAATGTTCATGTTTCCTGTCAAGTAATAAAAGTGTAGATGAGTCTGCTACAAACACATCTTGATATAATGGACAGCTGATGTAAGCAACTGTGCATTTATAAGACCAGTATTTTGTCAAAGCCCACCATTATTTAATAAAGCAGTTTATAAGCCGATTGGACTCTTCTGTCTGGATAATATTTTAGATTATTAGGAATGAGTTTGCAAAAACATACGGACTCAGGCTTGGTTTTACGTGATGCATTGGTCCAGACCTCTAAACCAGAGTGATTACACACAATAAGCATCATCATATGTTAAATTTCAACTCGAAAATAACACTGTCAGAACAGCA